ACCTCGGCTTAAAGTCTCATCCGAAGGACGGCGCCTCTGACAATGCAACTCCCGACCCCCCCATCACCCCCAGCGCTGCGTTGGAGCGTGAGCTTAGACGATGTGATTCCTGAAGCCCTGACGTGGGGCTTCAACCCCACAGCCCTCTGACTTGAGTGGAGAGAGCGCGACCGCTGCTCCGGCCTCACACACAATCAGCCACACCAATTAATACGGCCGTATCTCAGTCCGTTTGGCACAACTTGACCAGGAGTTCCCCGGAGCTCAGGGGTTCGGGCCCTCGCCTCGCGAGCGAGAGGACCCGGGTTCGATTCCCGGGCGGGTCAGGTCAGGGCGAAACCTTGGGCAAGTTTCCTCACTCCCCCCCCACTGCCACCCCCCCCCCCCCGGTTGTTAGTGGATTGGCCGATGGCTTTTCCGGGGGTAATAATCCCTTCAAAATAAATAATAATAATAATTCGGTCACTTCAACCCCGCGGCTGTTTGTGGGACGGACGCCGCTGTGCGCAGTCGGCTGCCCCCCGTTTCGCCCGCAAAACGCACAGTCACTACACGCGACAGCGTATCCGGGTGAAGCGCTTGGAGACGTCTCGAAGAGACGCGGTGCGGCGCCGGGGATTATTATTATTATTATTACTATTACATTATTTATTATTTCCCTTTGTCTGCAACCAAGTGACCGATGTGTTGGCCGCTGTGGCCACCGGTGGCCACTGGGCGGCGCCACATAGCCAAAGGAATGACCTTATTGGGTGCGTTGACTCGGTTGGTCCAACAGGAGGCAGCGTGGCTCGGGTCACGTGAAACGGATGCCTCTGGGTCGGGGGGGTCACGTGAGGGGGGGGAGTCACGTGGGATGAGGGTCACGCGGAGGGAGGGCGTCACGTGGGAAGAAGGGGCGCGACGCGAGGGGTGGAGTCACGTGGGGACGTGAAGGGTATCACACGGCAGGAGGGTGTCACGTGGGGGGGGAGGGTTCCGACGCGCCGCGCGGGGCGTGACGTGGAGGCGGAGTCACGTCAGAGGTGGGTGCGACGCGTAGGAGTCGCGTCACGTGGGGGAAGGTGTGTCAGGCGGGGGAGGGGTGTCACGTGGGGGGGAGGGTTGCATGCGACGCGCCGCGCGGGGCGTGACGTGGAGGCGGAGTCACGTCAGAGGTGGGTGCGACGCGTAGGAGTCGCGTCACGTGGGGGAAGGGTGTCAGGCGGGGGAGGGGTGTCACGTGGGGGGGAGGGTTGCATGCGACGCGCCGCGCGGGGCGTGACGTGGAGGCGGAGTCACGTCAGAGGTGGGTGCGACGCGTAGGAGTCGCGTCACGTGGGGAAGGGTGTCAGGCGGGGGAGGGGTGTAACGTGGGGGGGAGGGTTGCATGCGACGCGCCGCGCGGGGCGTGACGTGGAGGCGGAGTCACGTCAGAGGTGGGTGCGACGCGTAGAAGTCGCGTCACGCGTCACGTGGGGGAGGGGGTCACGTGGGGGGAGGGCGTCTGGCTCGCGCGGTGACAGTTGGCGAGCGACCGTTGACGGCTGTCGGGGCTCGAGCGGTGACCGTTGGGCGGGAGGAGGAGGAGGAGGCGGCGGCGGCCCCGGTCACAGGCACGGCTGCCATGTTGGGCGTGTCCCTGAACTATATCTTGCTGGCGGGGCAGGTGGTGCTGCTGGCGGCCATCCTGCTGCTCCAGGGCCTGGCCGGCTCCTCCTCACAGGACATGAACAGCACCGAGCGGCCCGGCCCCGGCCCCGGCTCCGGCCCCGACAACCACAGCCTCTGGGAGTACGAGGATTCCACCTCTCCCCTCGTGCTGTGCAGCTTCCTGTGAGTGGCCGCTTCACCCCCACCGCCCCCTCCGCCTCTCTATATATAGTGTGTATAGTGTGTGTGTGTGTGTATTGTGTGTGTGTGTATTGTGTGTGTGTGTATAGTGTGTGTGTGTGTATTGTGTGTGTGTGTATTGTGTGTGTGTGTATAGTGTGTGTGTGTATAGTGTGTGTATAGTGTGTGTGTGTATATAGTGTGTGTATACAGTGTGTGTGTGTATATAGTGTGTGTGTGTATATAGTGTGTGTGTGTGTATACAGTGTGTGTGTATACAGTGTGTGTGTGTATAGTGTGTGTGTGTATAGTGTGTGTGTGTATAGTGTGTGTGTGTATAGTGTGTGTGTGTATAGTGTGTTGTGTGTGTGTGTAGTGTGTGTGTGTGTGTTGTGTGTGTGTGTGTTGTGTGTGTGTGTGTTGTGTGTGTGTGTAGTGTGTGTGTGTGTGTAGTGTGTGTGTGTGTTGTGTGTGTGTGTGTGTGTAGTGTGTGTGTGTGTAGTGTGTGTGTGTAGTGTGTGGTGTGTGTGTATAGTGTGTGTGTGTGTAGTGTGTATATCTTTATATAATATATATATATCTCTATTTCTACCTCTGTTTTTTTCTATTCTTTCCCTGTGGTTCTCTGTCTGTCTCTCTGTGGTTTTCTCTCTGTTTCTCCCTCTCTGGACAGTCTCAGCCGCTGTTTTTGTTTTGTTCCGCCTCTTTTTTTAATCAAAAGTTAGAAAAGTTCCAAAATCGTACTGTGATAATCCTGGCATGTGACCCGGCGCCTTATCACGTCGCTGAGACGTCTCATAGCGCTTCACAGAATATGCTGTAAAGTGTAGTGACTGTGTATTCTGTGGGCAAAACGCGGCAGCCAATTGCTCACAAACAGTCATGGGTTGAAGTGCTCAATTTTTTTTGAAGGAACTATTATTACCGGAAAAGTGATCCACCAATTGACTAACAACCGGGTTCCTACTTACTGCTGGTAAACAGAGGCGTGAGTGTGGAGTAAGGAAACTTGCCCACCGTTTGGCCCTGACCCGCCCGGGAATCGAACCCAGGTCCACTTGCTTGTGAGGCGAGTGTTCTAACCACTGAGCTATAGGACTCCATAATTTTTGTGACAGTGTTTTATTGCTGGGTAGGTTTATTGTCTTGTTTTGCTGGAATATGTTTGTGTTGTGCTAATTGCAAGAATTTACTTTTTTAAAGCCACATGATGTTTGCAATCGGTGACTTTCATGTCTGTGTTTTGTAGGCCAGAGGAGTTTGTGGAGTGCAAAGAGCCAGTAGACCTGGCAGGAAATGCAACGGCGCAAAGTGAACAAGGGCATGGATGTGTAAAGGTGAGTTTCTTTATCATTTCTGTAGATTTGGGAAGATTTCTGAGACCTTTTTGGTTAAGTAGGACTACATTTACGATGTAGTGATATGTACAATACAATGTTAAAAGCGTGCTAAAGTGATGGGTGCTCTCAAGTGTAGTGTCTGCATTCGTTGGCAAATTTGTTGCCAGCCAACAGCGATGAAGTGAATTTATCCACACAGTTGTTCATTGGGACACTGGGAGACACTCTTCTGTTTTTGAATGGGAGCGTTAAGATGAACAGGCAGACCTCGAGGCTTAGTTTAACATCGCATCTGAACGCTTACACCTCCGACAACAAAGCATTTCTCCATTACTGCAGTTGAATGTTATCCTTCAGTGAGGTTAAAGTCCTGGCTTTAACCCACAACTTTATAGCCACTACACCTGTAGCTACAGAGCTTTGCCTCTACCCCTCCTCCACCTTTGCCCCTTTTCAGATCCCACCTGAATGCCTTCCAAAAATAATAATAATCTGGTCACTCAATCCACGACTGTTTGTGGGGACGCTGCTGTGCGCAATTGGCTCCTGCGCTTCACCCCCAAAATATACAGTCAATTCGCTTTACAGTATATTCTGTGAAGCGCTTTGAGACATCTCAAAGACGTGGTGAGGCGCTGTATCAAATGCAGGGACTATTATTAGAATTTTCTGACCCAGAGGCAAGTGTTACGAGCTGAACTGGCATTCAATGGAACTGACCTAGTATGTAGTGAGGTCAAGGAGGACCTTTCCTGTCTCTTTGAATCACAACCACCGTCTTCATGTTCAAACCATTGTTTGTGTGCCAATAGCTCTCTGTTTGCCATCTCGTGGGCCCCAGTGGTTTCTTCATGATGTCCTTTTTCAGTTCAGTTTAGAAAATTAGCAAATATATGGCTTGCATATGCGTGTATTTATATAAAGCAGGAAAAAGGGAGTTCATTGCATTGATAATAAATGCTATCAAACATTTGTTATGTTTTTCCTAAAACCATGTTAAGACAACCGTCTGTCAATGCAGTGGTATAAAGAGAATAATAATAATCCTTGCATTTGATATAGTGCCCTATCATGTTATTGAGACGTCTCAAAGTGCTTCGTAAGAATGTATTATAAAATGGAGTGGCTGTGTATTTTATGGGCTAACTGCGACAGCCAATTGTACACAGATTTAATCAAAAGTTCACTGAAAGTATTTGTATGTTGCTGTGGCAGTTATATGAAATTTGAATGTCACTGAATTCTTAGTGTGAAAACCTCTGTTGCTGATATTTAGGTGAAAATTGTCTTCTCTGTTTTCAATTCATGGTATTTTGCTGTCTGTGCTCTGTTTTGCTGTAAAGCTTCATTAACGTTGTTTCTGTTTTTGCCAACAGTTTGGTGGACAAGCCTATAATGATGTAGAACATACAAAAGTCCAATGTTCGGCATTGAAGAATATCGAGTGTGCAGGCCCGCGAAGCTTTCTTCGAGGAAAAGTGCCATGTATCAAGTAAGAATTTGGAGAATGACTTGCAATATTTGCTGAATTAAATCATTGTTTTCTCATTTAACCCGGGGTTTTTAAAAAAAGCTTTGGATATAATGTTGAAATGTTGCAAAATTGCTTTTCAGGTAAATTTTCTAAGTTGCCCAACCATTGGCAGTCAGGCCTTCAGCCTTTCTGCCCCCACCCTATGGAACTCCATCCCACAGTCCCTTCGGCTCGCCCTCCTTTTTGACCGAGTCTTCGGCCACCCTCCTAACACACTCTCTCCGCCCTCCACTCTTCCGTGATCCCAGGTCCAAATCCCTGACTGTCCAGTGCCTTGGGATGTCCTCCCGACATGAAAGGATTTTAACCTTTGGAATTCCATCTGCCAATCACTCCACCTCGCCCCCTCCGTAGCCTCCTTCAAGTCCCGCCTCAAACCCCTCCTTCCCCTCCCCTTCCTTCTCCCTCCCTGACCCCAGCTCAGGTCTGAAATGCTGTCACTGTCCAGTGCCTTGGCATGTCCTCCCAACGTGAAAGGCGCTATACACATGTAATGTTGTTGTCATTACGCTCTGCTCTACTGGTATTAGGAGGCAGTTTTTGTCTCCTGTATTCCCCCTCAAATAATGACAGCAGTAATAAAATTACATTCGTAAAGCGCCTTCCCAAATGGGGAAGACATCCCAAGGAGCTGAACAATCGGAGATCAGGATCCGAGCATGGGGGGTGGTGGGGTGTGGGGGGAGGGTTGGATTGGATTGAGGGAGGGCAGAGGGGTTAGGAGGGTGGCTGAAGGCACGGTCGAAAAGGAAGGTCTCGAGTCGTGGTTTGAAGGAGATGAGGGAGTGAGGCCAAGGGATTGTGGGATGGGGTTCCAGAGGGTGGGGGCAGGGAGGCTGAAAGCTCGGCCTCTGATGGTGGGGGAAGGAGGGGTCGGGCCGGAGACCTGGAGCCTGCTGAGCGGAGGGAGCGAACAGGTTGATAGGGGATCAGCAGGTCAGAGAGGTGGGAGGGGGCGAGGCCGTGGAGGGCCTTAAGGGTGAGGATTTTGAACTCTATCCTCTAGGGGATGGGGAGCCAGTGGAGCCGGGCTGGCGAGGGTGGGGGCGATGGGGGTCAGGGAGTCTGGTGCGGGAGAGGACACGAGCTGCAGGGTTCTGGATGATCTGCAGCTTGTGGAGGGAAGAGTTGGGGGAGGCCGACAAGGTGGGAGTTGGCGTACTCGAGCCTTGAGGTGATGAATAACTTGAGTTATTACACACAATAATGTGTATTTTTAAACAAATAACTTATTTTTGTGCAGACAAATTTGAGATATGGTCAAAACGGAAATTGACTTTTCTGTTGAAATTCACAATTAACTCATATATCATAATCCATATATAAAACTGATGTTCAGAGTAATAATAATCCTTGCATTTGATACAGCGCCTTATCAGGTCTTCGAGACATCTCAAAGCGCTTTACAGAATATACTGTGAAAGGTAGTGACTGTATATTTTGCAGCAGCCAATTGCGCGCAGAGGTGTCCCACAAACAGTTGTGGATTGAGTGACCATTTCTTTTGAATGGATTATTACCTTACACTAATATGAGTTATTATTATACATACATTCAGAGTAACCTTCCGATAACCTGTTAGTATAAATACTGGATTTATAAGGCTTCTCACCAGTTACGTGTGTGTGTATTTTTAGGTACACCGGACACTACTTTGTTACAACATTGCTCTACTCCTTTTTCTTGGGCTGCTTTGGAGTCGATCGATTCTGCTTGGCACACACTGGGACTGCAGTGGGGAAACTGTTGACTCTCGGAGGACTTGGGATATGGTGGTTTGTGGACCTAATCTTGCTCATCACAGGAGGTTTGATGCCCAGTGATGGCAGTAACTGGTGTGTATACTACTGACCTTTCACAAGACGTGAACTTGAAGGCAGAGAGAAGACATACAATGAATAAACCAGTGATACAGTCTCTCTCTCTTTCTCTCACATCCATTTCCTCTGCAAATATGTCATTACATACTGGGCCCGAGTTTTCTTTCTCCCAACATCTAATTCATTCTGGTGATGTGTTTAAGAGACATAGAGATCTTGTATTGTGAGCTGCAGTAGTATTTTTTAAAACATTTTTTGTAAATATAACCTGTGCAATGCTCTCTCCTTCTGTACTTTATTTTCCATTTGAATTTACAACGTGACGTTGAGTTTACATATAGCTTTATTGAAATGTTTAAAGTGAAAATTAAAGGGATGTGACATTTTTAACTTAGTATTGTTTCTTGCCTTGGCTTTTGATTCATGTTTGTTTCTGCTAAATTAAAATACCCTACATTTCTAAAGTGTATAACTGCCAACTTTGCCAAGATAACTCCTGATGTGAAAGGTGCAATATTAATCTCAGTAAATTGTATCGAGACTTATGTATAAATTGTAGATATTTAATAAGCAATTGATAAGACTTGTAGTGGACTGATTTAACAGTGCTACAGCCAAAAATTAGACATGTGTTAAGAAATCATTAAGAAATTAAATTAATTTCATCACGTAATCAATTGATTGTACTAAGGACAGCAGAGGCCACTACACAAAGATTGATATGATTAGAGGAAAGTAATTTAAAATACAAAGCAAATTCATCTTGAGTACTGCATTGGTTCTGAATCGTTTCATCCTTATTTATGTAGGATTTCTTCTGTGCTCCAGTTCTCCTCAAGAAACTGAATGATTGCATGCAATGCTTTAATAGCGCCATAACAATATATATTTATACATTTGCAACCAAAACAGAAGTCGCTGGGAACCCTCAGCAGGTCAGGCAGCATCTATGGGGAAAGGAAAGGGAGTCAATGTTTTAGGTCCACGAGCCTTCGTCAGAACTGGAGGCATGTTGGGAGGGAGAGGCTTTTAAGGGCTAACAGGAGGCAGGGCAAGGAAGACAAAGGAGAAAATGGGGTAGAGGACAGGGGATGATGGGTTAAAGAGGCGATAATGATGCAAAACAAAGTGGGGGAGCGGTTGCAACAAAGCAGGGAATGGAGGTGTTTAATATTGCAGAACAAAAGGAGGACGGTGGGGGGGAAAGATCGCAACAAACCAGGGCAGACCAGAGAGAGAAAAGGTCTGTCTGGGACCAAGATGGAAATGGTCACAGAAGAAGGGGAGGAGGTGGGAACGTGAGCTCTTATGGTCTGAGCGCAGTTATATTTTCCGTATGTAAAGCTCTTGTGCTTAGCATTTGAGCTTGAGTTGTTATTTCCAGAGGTTTTAGTGAGTAAACTATTCAAGCGACATTATGTAAGACCTCAATACGATTGCATTTGGCATTGAAGTTCATTTTCCTTTGTCACCTTTTATTACTTGATTCTCTGGAACGACGGTAATCAGCAGGACCCCATTGCTACGGCGGACGCCAATCGACAAGGAATTGCTGTTCTTAACCGCCTCGCTGACTTGTTCGGAAGATGTGATCGGAATGCCGTTAATGCTGATAATCACGTCGCGATCCTTTAAACCGGCGCTAAAAATCAATCAATGATACGACGGTGGTAAGACTGTGCCTGCGAACTCGTCAATATTTGTTAATAACTACCTGTACCTGTGGCCACTCTGCTTGCAACCAGAGGATCCAGTATAGAATGTAGATTGACACACGGGCTAATACTCCCGGTTGGGGAGGGGGGGAGGCTACCCGGGGCGGGTCCTGTTTTTTTAGGGGATTATCACCCGCGGAAAAGCGATCCGCCAATTGACTAAGAACCGGGTTCCTACTGACTGCTGGTAAACAGAGGTGTGTGTAGGGGGGGGGAGTAAGGCAACTTGCCCATCGTTTCGACCTAACCCGCCCGGGAATCGAGCCGGGTCCTCTCTCGCTGGCGAGGTGAGGGCTCCAACCCCTGAGCTACAGGACTCCACAGTGTTTGAACAGTGCCGCGGTGTGGGTGGGGTTGTGGGCGATGATAAAATATATTTATATTGTGCAGGAAAAGAATTATCTCTTGAGTACAGGAATTATTTTCAGGAAGACATGTCTAGGAATGGTTGGACAAAACCTGCTTCTAACTAGAGTTGGTGGAGTCAATTTGATTCTATACTACTACTACTACTAATAATAATCTTGTATTTGACACAGCGCCTCATCACGTCTTCGAGACGTCTCAAAGAGCTTCACAGGATACACTGTAAAGTGTAGTGACTGTGTTTTGTGGGGTTTTACATGTTTTGCTAAACTGCCCCGCTGCAGGATTACTCCCAATTGTAGCTCAGGGGTTAGAGCCCTCGCCTCGCAAGCGAGAGGACCCAGGTTCATTCCCGGGCGGGTCAGGTCAGGGTGAAACGTTGGCCAAGTTTCTTTACTCCACACACACACACACGCCTTTGTTTACCAGCAGTCAGAGGACCTGGTTGTTAATCGATCGGCGTATCAATTTCCTGAGATAATAATTCCTTTAAAAAATAATAATAATAAATTGGTCGCTTCAGTCCACGACTGATTGTGGGAACCTCTGTGCGTAATTGGCTGCCGTGTTTCACCTACAAACCACGTAGTCACTACACTTTCGTGTATCCTGTGAAGTGCTTTGAGACGTCTCGAAGGCGTGATAAGGGGCTTCACCGAACATAATGTGAAGTGTCAATTAAATAGACTGTAAGATTGAGCAGTTGTCAAACTTACCCAATAAGTTCCATGTACATATTATTGTTATATACCTTTGAGCAGGAGATCCTGACATGACTTCAAATATATAGACGCCTCCCGAGACATCAGGGAAATGCTTGTCATGTGCCTTCAGCTCACGTGAAAGACTGTAATGGAAATATGGTCCTTTGTGTCAAATACTTGCACTGAAATCTTATTACAGTGTAGGAACAGGAGGAGATCATTCAGCCCTTTGAGCCTGTTCCTTCAGTCATTCAGTTTCTTAGATCATGGCAGAAATATTGATCTCTGTGTTTATCCATACCCTATATTTAACACCTCCCGCCATCCATAATAGTCGCTTGACATGTCATGTCCCCCCAACTATATTCTGTATTATCCCCAGATATTATTTTCCAGCAGAAATCGATCCCATTTGTTCTGGAAACAAACAACATGTTCTGCTTCCACCCTCTGTTCCATGTGTTTACTACTTGCTCACCGAAGTAGCGTTTCGCAGGTTGGCTCTGAATTTAACCCCCTTCAATCGCAGGGCGTACAAATCGAGTCTAAAAGCATAAATCCGATCCTAATCACCCATCCTCAGTACGATGTCCCACAGGTGAATCCTAGTCGCTTGTAATCAGTTGAGCGCTGGGTACTTACTTTGGTGTCAGTTTCAACATCCGGACTCCCATGTATCTCTTCAGTGGTAAACTTTTCCCTTTGGGTGTGAGAGCAATCGGTAAATACGTTGAACGTGCGAGATCCTACTGCACAAAATACTGCACCCAATTCCCGTTAAGTACAATGCGTCTTAAGTTTTCTCTCCAGAAGGTTTTTGACTCATCAAACAGATGGATAGAGGCACCAACGGCCTAACCCACCCAAGTCCTGTGTAACTTTAGACCGGAAGCGTTATGCGACCATTTAATAATAATAATAATCCTCACATTTGATACAGCGCCTTATCACCCCGTTGAGACGTCTCAAAGCGCTTCGCAGAATAGACGGTCGAGCGCAGCGACTGCGGATTTTGTGGGCGAAACGCGGCAGCCAATTGCGCACAGCGGCGTCCCCACAAACAGCCGGGTTGTTACCCCCGGAAAAGTGATCCGCCAATCGACTACTACTGGGTAAACAGAGGCGTACGCGGGTGTGCGGAGTAAGGAAAGTTGGCTAAGGTTTCGCCCTGATTGACCCGCCCGGAAACCGAGCCCAAGTCCTTTCGCTTGCGAGGCGAGCGCTCTAACCACTGAGCTACAGGGAACTCCACGATAAACCATTTGCCCATTAGGCCATCGGAAGTGAATCGGGTTCTATCTCATCTGATACCCACTCCATCTACGCTCAACAGTTGGTGAATGCCGCTTCGGCGCTGGATGTTTATGGCTCCCCTTCTCTCTTGGGAAACTTTTACTGCAAATGCGGGTGAAATTAGCTGACTCAGCGCAGACTCCCGCTCCAAACGACGTGCCATTACACCATGCGGTGTGTTTCCCTTATTAAACCGTCAGGAAATTATTAAATGGGAACAACAAAAAAAAAAAATTCGAAAGGAAAGCTGCTCTGCGTGTCGGTATTTTTTGGGTGAGATTTAAAAGAAAACCCATCAAATTTAATGAGCGTTTTTCCTGCTCGTTTCGCACATTTTATTCCAATCAAAGGCAGCTGCCGTTTAACACGACGACAGCATGTTTTCTGGAAATTACGCTATTCAAAGCATTGTCACGGCTTCGAAGACGGCTCAAAGCGCTTCAAATCATATGCTGTAAAGCGAAGTCAATGCGTATTTTGCGGGAGAAATATTGCCCCTTAATTAACACGTAATTAATTAATACGTAACACGTAAAAGGTAATTAATTACCTTTCAGTTCCCGGTCGTAAGATTCTGCAAGAAACTGTTGAATTCTCTTTGCAGGGATCGCAAACGATATACCCGCTGTGACTTTAAGTGTATTAATACCAATGACTTCACCGTCCTGCAGTTTAAAACCAAGTTAAACTAAAACAAATAAAATTTATCGACTGGATGTTGCAGAAATGCTTCATTATTTTCCATCTACCTTCGTTTAAAGTTTCCGCGCCTTGTGTGCAAATTTATACAGTTAAAGGGTGAATGTAATTATAATAATAAAAATAATAATCCTTGTGGCTCAACGAAAGCCGCAGTTTGCTCCCTTCCAACCGGCAAATACTATTACTTATGATAGTAATAAATCATAATAATAACCCTTGCATTTGATCCAGGGCCTTGTCACGTCTTCGAGACGTCTCACAGCGCTTCACAGGATACGCTGGAAAGTGTAGTGACTGTACAGTTTGCGGGTGAAACGTGCACAGTCGTGTGTGGGGAGTGAGGAAACTTGCCCAACGTTTCGTCCTGACCCGCCCGGGAATTCGAACCCGGGTCCTCTCGCTCGCGAGGCGAGGGCTCGAACTACTGAGTTACTCTTTTTAACTTAAAATATCCAGAAAGTATTAAAATGTATAAAAATGATCTTTAACTGTTAAAATCTCCAGAAGATATTAAACTGCGTAAAACATATCTTGTTAACTATTAAAATCGATAGCAGATGCCAAAACATGCCAAAAATATCTTTTTGGCTTAAAAAATCTAGAAAATATTAAAATATATTTAAAAAAAATCCTTTTCACTGTTCAAATATATAGAAAATATTAAAAGATATTAAAAAAATCTTTCGAAGTGTCCCAACATATAGAAAATGACAACTTACCAGGTTGACGAGGGGACCTCCTGAATTTCCGTACTGTAATAAAAATTGCAGTATATGAGTGGGCGTTGATTTTAAAATGCAGCTTCACACTGAATAAAAGACTAATGACTAATAATATTCATCGATGCAGACTTTTTAATTGATTGATTTTATAATCTGAATATAAACGAATAAAAAAGCATTCGCATCTCATGTCACGTGACTGTTTTTCTCAGAATAACTCTTGCGTTTACTTATCACATCTTCGAGACTTCTCAAAGATGCGCCGTAAAGCGAATTTACTGCGTGTTTTGTGGGCGAAACAAGAGTTCGAACGGCAGAACTGTAAATGTTTTTGGTACTCGAGATAAAATGCTGCAATGGCCTTATCGCGTACATCAGTCATTCGCTATTCTTTTCTATTTAGTTCATACGATGCATTGGATGAATCCGGCATCTTCCAAGCAGATACTCTTGATAATAATAATCATAATAATAATAATAATAATAATCCTCGCATTTGACACAGCGCCTCATCACGTCTTCGAGACGTCTCAAAGCGCTTCACAGAATATACTGTAAAGTGTAGTGACTGTGTATTTTGTGGGCGAAACGCGGCAGCCAATTGGGCACAGCAGCGTCCCCCCACACAAACAGCCGTGGGTTGAGCGACCCAAATTTTTTTTTTTTAATCTTGAAGGGGTTATCCCCTCCGGAAATGCATTCAAATAAAAAAGAAAAATAATAATAATGTGGTCACCAAATCCACGACTGGTTGTGGGCGGAAGGTCGCTGTGCGCAATTGGCTGCCGCGTTTCGCCCACAAAACACAGAGCCACCACACTTTGCGGTGTATCCCGTGATGCGCTTTGAGACGTCTGGAAGACGTGTCGAATGCGAGGATTATTATTTATGATTAGAAAGGGGAAAAAAATTAAAATGTCCACGCAGAAAGCAGTATTAATCACCGACCGTTAATCAATTCGGCAAGGAAACGTTGTCGGAATATTGAAGCGTTTGAGCAGATTATATCAAATTAGTGCAGGAAAAAAAGGTGGTCTTGATCGGGTTTACGGTCACCTCTGCCCCCTCCCTCTCCCCCCTGGCTCGGGGTCGGTCTCCACCACCGACAAGCTCTCCAGGACCCTACCCCAAGTGACGGGCACTATGTCAAGCTGTCGTGGTGGTGGTGTACTTGACCTTACGTTGATAATGGCGTCGGTCTGAATGTAATCCATGTCTGAGTCTTTCAGACCCAGCTCCTTGCCTCCGCGCTCAGTCGTGCTGACGATTCCAGTGGTCACCGTGTTTTGCAGAGAAAATGGGCTTCCGATAGCCACCACGAACTCCCCGGGTCTGAGGTCCGTCGAGCGAGCCAACAGCAGGACTGGGAGGGAACTCTGTTCGCAACACAGAGAAAAAAAAAAAACCCCAATAAGATTAATACTTTTTAAGCGACTATTTGATGTAAGACGCCCTCCAGGCCTCCGGGTATTAAGTAACCCCTTCCACAAAGAAAAATAGTGATAATTTGGTCGCTTCAACCCGCGGCTGTTTGTGGGGGAACGCTGCTGTGCGCAATTGGCTGCCGCGTTTCGCCCACAAAACGCGCAGTCACTACACTTTGCGGTGTATCCTGTGAAGCGCTTTGAGACGTCTCGAAGGCGCTGTATCAAATGCAAGGGTTATTATTATGATAATTGTTATTATTGCCCCGAGATAGCGATTTATCAGGAGAAAAGAAACTTACGTTAGCTTTTATTTTAATCAGTGCGATGTCTGATTTCCGGTCGATGTCTTTGACCTTCGCTTCGTACTTTTCCCCGTTTTTCAGCTCAACTTTTATCCTCTGTTTGTTGTTGAGGACGTGGGCGTTGGTGACGATCAGACCGTCCTCGGACACGATGAAACCTGAGCCGCTGCCCACTGTGACGTCACGGTTCGAGTAAGATGCCCTGTAACACAACCCCAACGCAGGACATTTCACACGGAGCCTTTCAGGTCAGGAGGACGGCCCGAGGCGCTGGGCAGTCAATGGTTTGGACCCGAGCTGGGGGTTGGGATCAGGAGTGGGGGTGGAGGGTGGATGGGAGGTATGAGGGTGACCGAAGACACGGTTGGTCGAAGAGGAGGGTCTTGAGATGGCCCTTGAAGGAGGTGAGGGAGGGGGCGAGGCGGAGGGACTGCGGGATGGAGTTCCAGAGGGTTGGGGGCAGAGAGGCTGAAGGCCAATGGTGGGGCTGGCGAGGAGGGGGGAGGTGAAGCAGACCGGAGCCCGCTGAGCGGGCAGGTTGGCAGGGCACAGATGGTAATACCAAAGTGCCATGAAAGCAAAATCCAGTGCGTTTTTCCGGACAAGACTGAGACACCGTGCGATTAGGCCGTGTGTCGTCAGCCACTGTAAGGAGATTTATCCGCAAAGAATATTTCCTGAGGATTCATTGACCGTAGTATCTCACAGCACATCAAGGGATACGGGGCAAAGGCAGGCAACTGGACTTGAGTTACAGATCAGCCCTGATCTTATAGGATGGCGGAACAGGCTCGAAGGGGCTGAATGGCCTCCTCCTGTGCACCCCAGCAAACGTGCTCGCGTTCCACTCGTGCCACCGTCAACGTAATTGTGTTTAGAAATGCTACAAATGGTAATACTGCTAAATCGATGGCTCGAATCAAAGTCCGTCCGTCCATTCGTGGGACGCTGCTGCGCGCAATTTGGCTGCCTCCAACCAACTCCAAGTTCCTCACCTCCTGACAAGTGCCAGATGAACCACAGCCGGCGCTATTTTGTCCACCACGTCTGCAATGAAGTTGTACTTGAACCTCATACTGTCTGGATGCTGGTGATCTAAACACAAAAGAGTCTCGCTTTACGGTGTATCCCGTGAAGCGCCTTGAGACGTCTCGGAGACGCGACGAGGCGCCGGGTCAAATGCCAGGATTATTAATATTAGTATTATTAATCAGTTCTACAGTTTAGTAATCCTTGATTTTGATTTGGCACTTCTAACAGCTACAATAATAATGATAATAATAATAATAATAATAATTTGGTCGCTCAGCCCGCGGCTGTTTGCGGGGACTGTGCGCAATTGGCTGCCGGGTTTCGCCCACAAAATACACAGTCACTGCACTTTACGGTGTATCCCGTGAAGCGCTTTGAGACGTCTCGAATAAGGCGCCGTATCAATGCCAGGATTATTATTATTATTAATAGGAGTGGTGGTATTATTAAATACAAGCTCGTGGCTGCAAGTAGGGAAATTGAACGGCAAACAGCGAAATCTTTGGCCGAGATTGTATCGACGTGAATATAACGTGTGCAATAACCGCCGGAGGGTCTGAGACGTCCAACTACCTGATCTTTTATTTTTCAGCTTCAAGAGAAACTGAAGCACTGGTTGCCACTGCCAACACAACCTTCCAAATCACTTCAAGGTGTCCGAACCGGCTGCGGAACGGCGTGAATTAGTCATAGGAAACGCTGACAGAATTACGCTGTGGTGTGGTGCCTGAAGTGCACCTGGCAGGGCAGAGCCAACGGGGCTTTTACTTCGAATCGTTTCATGATGAATCGGTCCCTTCAATCCGCGACTGCTTTTGGAGACGTCGCTGGGAGCAATTGGCCGCCGTGTTTCGCCCGCAAGAACACGCAGTTACTACCTGTGAAGCGCTTTGAGACGTCTCGAAGCCGTGATAAGGCGCTGGATCAAATGCATTATTATTATTATTATTATTATCCTCTTGCCCTTAATAATAATATTATTATTAACACTTTACGAGGATATCATCAGAACAGCAGCCGAACCATCGGACACCATTAAACCACGGCCCGACGAGCAACCGATTAGTTTGCGTCGCCAATACTCTGCCATGGCAAGTCCCGAGTCCCTGCCTTACCTGAATCACAAGGTCCCTTCTGGATCAGAATCACGGGCGGAATATTTGCCTCCTGCTGCTTTTTGCTCATCGCCTTCAACGTGCAGATGTTCTTGTAGGTTTGGCCGTCGCTCCCGCACACCTGGTCGCCGTGCACGCAACCGCAGGTCCCCTTCCTGCGGTTCCCGTTGGGGTAGAGGCACCGGAAGGATTCCCCGCAGATGCCGTGGTGGTCATCCCAACCGCCGCAGAAATCGCCTTCGCCCGCAGCGCAGAAACTGCAGCAGTCGCACGAGTCCTTGGCTTCCCCGAAGGAGCAATTCCGGGGAGCGGGAGGACACGTGGAGGTATCGCAGACCTCTGGACAGGTCTGCCTCGAAACTCTGGCCTCCGCCGCCAGCCAACAGCACAACAAGCCACAAAACAGCCCGATTTGGGACATGTTACGGTGTCTACGAAAACGTCCGGCAGATTGACCTGCGGAATTGGCTCCAAGCTCAACTGTTCCTCTCGCGGAGCGAAGAGGTGGGTGATTTTTCTGCCACGGCTTCTGCTCACTGAAACGTTTGTGGCTCTGCTGCCGTCAGGGCGAAGGAGAAAGGAACAAGAGCCAATGAAATCGCTGCCAAAATCCCCCTCCGTCAAGGTTATTGGATCTTTCCAGTCAGCCTGGAGGCTGTTTTAACCCATCACAAGCGAGAGAGAGGACCCGGGTTCGATTCCCGGGCGGGTCAGGTCAGGGCGAAACCTTGGACAAGTTTCCTTAATCCCCCCTAATCCCCCCCACCCCCACCCCCACACGCGCACAGTCAGTAGGAACCCATTTTCCTACTGATGATAATAATAATAATAATCCTTGCATTTGATACAGCGCCTTATCACGTCTTCCAGACGTCTCAAAGCGCTTCACAGAGTATACGGTAAAGTGCAGTGACTGTGTGTATTTTGTGGGCGAACGCGGCAGCCAATTGCGCACAGCAGCGTCCCCACAACCAGCCGTGGGTTGAGTGATCTGTTTAGATATTTTCTGAAGGGATTATAACCCCCGGAAAAGCCATCCGCCATTCAACTGTGTGTGTGCGGGGAGTAAGGAAACTTGCCCAACGTTTCGCCCCGACCTGACGCGCCCGGGAATCGAACCCGGGTCCTCTTATTCGCATTCACAATAGGAATGATAAGAAACGTGTAGCCGAGTAAATTTGACGCGGGTTCGGGTTACCCAAACCTGGTACATTCCTTAGAGTGCGTGACTGAGTCACCAAACGACACAGCGCAACCCCACACCAAACTATTACCATTTTTCTTATTTTTTTGCCTCCCTCAGTCCGTCTCCGGAAAAGAAACAATGATTTTTTTCCGCACCCGTTTGAGTTTCTTTCTCTCTTTATTATTCTTCGAGGGGCACCAAGTTTTCCGGAGAACCGGGTTTCTCGAGTCGCAATTGGCTTCCCCTCCAACACGGAAAGGAATAGTCTCGAAAGTTTCGGTTCAGCCACACATTTGATCTCTTTTTTTTTTGGTCTCTCTCTTTCTCTTATTATTCTTATTTATATCTTTTATTCATATCTTATTGTTTCGATCAATTTACGGGCAAACGCGTACCTCACTGCGGAGCCCACTGACCACTTACACTAACCCTTGAACGAAACGGCGCCCTATCGCGTCTTCGAGACGTCTCAAAGCGCTTCGCGGATTACACCGTAAAGCGTAGTGACTGTGTTAGCGCAGAGCAGTGTTTCCCCCCCACCCCCCCCCCCCCCCACCCCCCCACACACACACACACACAAACAGCCGTGGGTTGAAGCCACCGATTTTTATCGGCGTCAATTGTTTTTTTAACCCGGTTCGAGCAAAACCAATTGCCTTAAGTGACGTTAAGGGAGAGTCTCAGGAGTTGCGAGACGTTTGTTTTGGTTTTCCTTTTATTCGCGTCCGATTGGCTTTGATCCACAGCAAACTTTGAAATTGGTCAATTTTCGGTAAATTCCTCACCGCAAACGTATCATAAGAACCCACCGAAAGCATCAACAACAACAACAACAACAACAACACACGCCCTTTCACATTGGCAGGAAGGGAAGGGTAGTGGGGGTAGGAGGGGGCGCTGTGGGGGGCGGGCGGTGTGACCGAAGTCTTGAGGAAGGTCTTGAGACGGGCCTTAACGGAGGCGAGGGAGGGAGGGAACGAGGCGGCGGGAATGTGGGATTGGATGGGAAAAGGAAATATTATGTGATTTCGGGACCGAATCGGGACAAAACGTTACCGTTTTGGGGCCTCGCGGTTACTCCACGGCTTCAGGAGTCAAACGTGCCGACGCAAACACGGTGAACAGCCGTAAGAAAGGCTCAGTTTTATTAAGACGTGGGCAGAGTCGGGCCAAAAGCGGCGTTGGTTATCCGGTGACTAACGCACAGCAAGTCTGGTTATCACAAGAGCGAATGTACAGCGCGAAGGAAGAAACAAATAAACCTTTTCTTGATCAACGATAGCAACAACAACAACACGTGACATTTACACAGCGCCCTTTCCCCGTCCAGAGGGGGTTGGGATCAGGCAGGGGGGAGGGGGTGGGGGGGATAGGTGGGGGGGTTTGGGGGTAGGTGGGGGGTAACCGAAGGCGCGGTTGGTCGAAGAGGCGAGTCTTGAACAACAGCAGCAGCAGCAACAACAACAACAAATTACACTTGTCTAACACCCGCTCTTTGCGGGTGTTTTGGACCCGAGCTGGGAGTTGGGAAGAGGGGGGAGTGGGGGTGTGGGGGGTCTGGGGGGTGGGGTGGGGTTTGGGAAGGCACAGTTGAATAGGAAGATCTTGAGATGGGACTTGAAGGAGGTGTGTGTGTGTGTGTGGGTGTGTGGGTATGTGTGAGTGTGGATATGTGTGTGTGTGTGGGTGTGCATGTGGGTGTGTCTGTGAGTGTAGGGTGTGTAGGTGCGTGTGTGTGGGTGTGGGGTATGGGTGTGCATGTGTGTGTGCGTGTGTATGGGTGTGTGCGTGTGTGTGCGTGTGAATATGTGGGTGGGTGCGTATGTGTGTGGGTGTATGTGTGGATATGTGTGTGGGTGTGTGTGCGTGTGCGCGTGTGGGAGGTTATTTGCATTAGCCTCTACGGCATAAACCACGGTAAAGATTCCCTTCCCGATTACACGTCCGTCGTCCGGACGCCATCGTTGTCCGCGAGGTAATCGATCCTGTGCGGTTGCGGCTGTGAGCGATGCCTGCGGCGCTTGCCCTGGACCTTGGGGTCTTCGGTCTCGGCCGGCTGCGACTGGCGTTCGGACGGGACTTCTGGAAGGCCAGGCGTCTCCTCCACGAGGTTGGACAAGGGTTCCTCGGGGGCGCGAGGCACGGGAGTCCACGGCTGCCAGGACGGAACCACGGAGGTGGATTTGGAGAGGGGGCGTTTCTCCTCCTGGGGCTGGTGGCCGGGGCCGTCCGGGGCGCAGCAGGAATCGTCTTGGGCGGCCCCGGAGAAGGAGGTCGTTCGGCTGAACGGCGAAGGTTGAGGGTCCTGCAAAGTGGACGCAAGAGAAGGGAGAACAAATCAATTTCCTCGGGTGGGTGGGTGGGCGGGCGGGAGGGAGGGTGGGTGGGTGGGACAGAGGGAGGGTGGGTGGGAGGGAGGGTATGTGGGTGGGTGGGTGGGAGGGAGAGGGTGGGTGGGTGGGAGAGAGGGTAGGCGGGAATTCAGAACAAGGGGGCATCACTAAATACACAGTCACTACACGTGACACTCTATTCCGTGAAGCTCTTTGAATGCGGGGATTATTATTATTATTATTTATTATTATTATCACCATAAATAATAGTATTTGCTGGTGGAAGGGAACATACTGTGGCTTTCGTTGCGCTCCTCTGGGCCACGATTGCCCTGTTTATTGCCGTGATCCAACTCTGCATCTCTGTCGGACTGTCCGCCTGGAGGCGAAAGGAAAGAACGTCAAACAACGCTCCCAGCGAACCCCTTCCCACCACCAAAATAACAAGAAAGTAATTGTGAGCAACAAACACTTTCGACGACAAAACACACTTGACAGCGTATCCTGTGAAGCGCTTTGAGACGCCTCGAAGACGCGATGAGGCGCTGGATCAAATGCCAGGATTATTATTATTATTATTATTATTATTATTATTATTACTGCTCTATATTCACTTGCATGCACTACCATATTTATACCCCCAGATGGTGATGGTACCCTTTTGTAAATCAACTGAACGGTTGGTGGAAGCCGATTTGATAACAGCTCTTAAGAGAGAAGTATATTGTTATTTGACTGTATAATTCCACGATTTTTTTGGTGGCAAACCCACCCGGACAGCCTCTGCGTATCTTAAGTAGGGAACAAACACTTACCGGGGTTTGCACGTCAGGGCAGAATGAACGTCAAACATTTGCCTCCTGATTCAAAGGAAAATACTTTTCCTTTGTGCATTTTAATGGGATGTTGGAACAACCACACAATGGCTTTTGCGCAGCGTCTGTCACCTCGCCAGGACGTCCCAAGGGCTTGGGCCCGAGCTGGGGGCTGTAGAGAGCGCGAGGAAGATGGTGGGATGACCGAAATCACCATCAGAGAGGAAGGTCTTCAAACGGGCATTGAAGGAGGCGAGGGAGGCGTAGAGACTGTGGGAGATCTTGAGGAGTTCTAGCGGGTGAGGGTAGAAAGGCTGATGGCCCAATTGTAGAGCGGGCAGAGCTGGGCACGTGGAGTGAGCCAAGGCAGAGCGGGTCATGGCACGGATATGGCGGGGGTTTAAAAGACAGTTGAAGGTCCAACGAGACCGAGGTTCTAGACTGGCTTGGTGGGTTGGAAAGTACACCCGTGAATAGCGATGCTGTCTGAGGTGCGGAAATGCTTTGAGACATCTCAACGATGTGATCGTAGAACCGTAGAATCTTACGGCACAGAAGGAGGCCATTCGGCCCATCGTGCCTGTGTTGGCTCTTTGGAAGAGCTGCCCAATCAGCCCCACTCCCCCCCCCGCTCTCTCCCCCAAACCCCCGCAAACCTTTCCTTCTCAATTCCCTCTCTAATTCCCTTTAGAAAGTTGTCATTGGATCTGTTTCCACCGACCCTTTCAGGCCGTGAGTTCCAGACAGTAACAACTCTCCGGGTAAAAACATTTCCCTTCATCTCCCCTCTGGTTCTTTCGCCAATTATCTTAAATCTGTGGCCTCTGGTTTCTGACCCACCCGCCCGCCAGAGGAAGCAGTTTCTCTCTTATCTACTGCTCCTCATCAAAATCCCTTCTAATTTTGAACCACCTCGATTAAATCTCCCCTCAACCTTCTCTCAACCTCCCCTCAACCTTCTGAACACAGCTGAGGCCTAAGCAGTGGCGTTTGAATTTCTTCAAGAAACAGCGAAAGACTGCACTGGTGCCTCAACGAGGCAAGTAACGGAACAAAACATCTTGACAAAATATGTGGGTAACGTACCTGGATAAAGAATATTCTCGATTGAGTAACTATTTCAAACAGATTGTCCCTCATCATCGGTTGACTGGAGAGAGAGAGAAAAGATATTATTCGAGTTGAAGGTACAATCAAAGGGCAGAACGTGTTGAACAACAACAACAACAACAAGTTGAGTTTGCACAGCGCTCCCGTCACCTGGGGTGGGGTCCCAGAGGGCGAGACAGTGACGGAGTCTGACCCTGAGCCGGGGGTGGGGGGGAGGGAGGGGGTGGGGAGGTGACCGTAAGCACGATCCAAGAAAGGAAGGTCTTTAGGCAGAGGGTTTTGAAGGTGCGGAGGGAGGGGACGAGGCGAGGGGATCGAGGGAGAGAGTGACAGAGTTTCGGGGCATAGCGGCTGAAGGCTGATGGTGGAGAGGGAGGGGGCGAGGGACGAACAGGAGAGCGGAGCCTGCTGAGAGGGGGCAGCGGGTGGAGGAGTGGGTGGGGGGGTGGGGGGTGAGCAGGTGGGGGAGAGGGAGGGAGGGAGGGAGGTGCGAGGGCGTGAAGGGGTTTGAAAACGAGTGCGAGGAGCTTGAAGTCGATCCGTTCGGTGACGGGGAGCCTGGGGAGCCTGGGGAGGGCTGGGGTGACGGTGGAGTGGAGGAGACCAGCGAGGAGGAAGCCATTGGAACAGTCCAGCCGGGGAAGGGACAAAGGGTTTCATCTGCGTCGTCTGCGGGGCAGGACGGAGGGGGGGGGGGGGGGCAACACGGCGGAGGTGGAAAAAAAAGCTCAGACGCAATCACGTGAAAAATCGAACACCGTCACGAAATCTATATTTACCTCAAATTGCATTTTTGGGCTTTTTGTATGTCCTTAAGTGGTATTGAGCGAAGAGGTTCCTTTTCCTGCAAGAAACAACGATTTGGTTACACACCCATCGGCTACGAGTTCTGCTTTTCGTTCTCCCCGTCTGTCCATCGTCCTTTCACTCACCAATTCACACTTGAAGTAGCTGAAATGGTTCTCGTCGAGCGTAAAGTATCTTCTCTTCCAGCTTTTCCTCTGGAAAACACCGTTCGTTAAATATATCAAGTCCCGGACCGTTTGCGGTGTGTAAATGTACGTGAAACGGTAAAGGACCGAGAACGCACAATGAAATAATTAAGGTGACAACTAATGATTGTGTTTGATACAGCGCCTGATACAGACGTCTCAAAGCGCTTCACAGGATACACCGTAAAGTGTCGTGACTGGAGAGGTGGAGAGGTACCAGGGCACGAAGGGATTTGTAGACGAGTGTGAGAGGATCTTGAAATCGATCTGTTTGGTGATAGGGAGCCAGTGGGGGCTGGCGAGGGTCGGGGTGATGGGGGGACGGGGTTTAGTGTGTGTGAGGGGGAGCCAGTGGGGGCTGGCGAGGGCTGGGGTGATGGGGGGAACGGGGTTTAGTGGGGGTGATAGGGAGCCAGTGGAGCCTTCGAATCAGCTGGATCCTGTGCACGGTGGAGTCACAGAGACGTCAGAAAGCGCTTCACAGGACACACTGTAAAGTGCAGTGACTGTGTGTTTTGTGGGCGAAACGCGGCAGCCAATTGCGCACAGCAGCGTTCCCCCCGCAAACAGCCGTGGAATTGAGTGACCAAATTATTATTATGTTTAATAATAATCGACTAACAACCGGGTTCCTACTGACCGCTGGTAAACAGAGGCGTGTGTGTGTGTGTGTGGGGAGGGGGTGGAGGGGGGGGTAAGGAAACTTGCCCAACATTTCGCCCTGACCTGACCCGCCCGGGAATCGCACCAGTGTCTGCGGCTGATGATAACTCACCACGATGCCTTGTTTCACGCAGAAACCGCTCTTCAGGACCTGAGGCCCGGATGTCGGTTTGTTTTCGGACACCGGAACGTGACTGACTGAGCGCTTGAGTACACTGTGCGACGCAGATTCAGCAGCTTCTTGAGTTTCATTCCCGTTCACCTGCGAAGAGACGCAGTAAAACCCCGGATCAGTCGTAGCTTTATCGATCGTGTTGTCCCCCCACGTCGTCGGTAACAGCCGTTGAGTTTCTCATCGAAGCCACTTCGAGTTTCTTTTGCGGCGGTCGTACGACTCGACAGCCACGACTTGGTGGTGGAGCGCGATTCCGAGCCGCGGTCAAAGAAAAAGGTCTTTAGGCGCGACACGAAGATGGGAGGGAAGGGGACGAGGCGGAGGGATAGAGGGAGAGCGCGACAGAATTTCACACCTCTCCGCTATCCTCCATTAGGACCCCATTTACTGGCTCCGTTGAATTATCATCATAGTAATAATTAATCCTGGCATTCGATACAGCGCCTCATCGCGCCCTTCGAGAAAGCGCTTCACAGGATACGCTGCAAAGTGTAGTGACCGCCGTGTATTTCGTGGGCGAAACGCAGCAGCCGCTGATCGATTAAATCGGATGATTGATTAAAACAAGACACCATTCATACAAGTTCGCCTGCGACGGGGACTGGGGGTAAGCAACACGGTAAAGGTTACGGCCCCAACTTATGGTACTCTACGCGAGTTTCACCACGTTGTGAAAATACTTGCAATGTCAGTGACAAGGCGCGACATCAAAAGGGAAGGATTATTGTGATAATAATTATTATTGTTATAATTATTATTATGAATCCAGTTGATTTTCGGTCCTTTGAAGGGTGGAGTTTCTCACCTGAGTAATTGGCGTTTGAACCACCACACCGCCAATGATTTCAGTTTTGTACGGAATCTGTTTTTTACCAGCCGGGGGTTCTGGATTGGGAATTTTCGCCTCGACAGTGGGCTGGGGATCGTTCGCCTTCGGCACCTGTAGGAGCGTTCGACGCAGAACGACGAGAAATTATCCAGAGAATAAGCAGTTGCAGCCTCCCCCGACCAGCGGTGGGTGGAGAGGGAACTCGGGCCCCGGTGTGAGTCGAGCTCGCAATCCCCCCCGATGCAAAACAACAGCAACAACTTGCACTCACATAGCACCCTCCACGAGGGTAGCGCCTCAGAGCGCTTAATGAAACCGAACCACCTTCCAACTGAGCCACACTGACGCATAATAACAATGATAATAATAATAATCCACCTGGCATTTGGCCCAGCGCCTCATCGCGTCCTCGAGACGTCTCAAAGCGCTTCACGGGACACACTGTCAAGTGTAGTGACTGTCTATTTTCTGGGCGAAACGCGGCAGCCAATTGCGCACAGCAGCGTCCCCCACAAACAGCCGCGGGTTGAAGTGACCAATTTTTTTTTTGAAGGGGTTATTACCCACGGAAACGCGATCCGCCAATCAACTAACAACCGGGTTCCTGCTGACTGCCGGTAACCAGAGGCGCGTGTGTGTGTGTGTGTGTGTGTGGGGGGGGGGGGGGGGTGGGGTGGGTGGGGGGGGGTTTTGGGGGGAATAAGGAAACTTGCCCAGTGTTTCGCCCCTGACCTGATCCGCCCGGGAATCGTACCCGGGCCCTCTCGCTCGCGAGGCGCGGGCTCTAACCCCCGAGCGACAGGGATCCATTGCGCTATTAACTGAGACACACGGTGAATGTTCCTGCAACTCAGTAGGAAACAGTGATACGTCTGAGAAGTCACTTAAAAGAGGAAACGACTCACAGAGAGTCAGGTAGAGTCAAGTTTCACACCAGATAGACAGTGCGCAGTTATTTTTAGATGTAAGTTGCTATTAAACTCGCTCTATATTTCCTGTCGATACTGATGGTGGGAGGACATTAATGAAGGAATGAGGTAATGGGTAAAATTCTTCCTTCAACCAATAGAACAGATGAGAATTATCAGATCAAGATTGACAGTTATATCCTCCGAAACGGCGCTGTTTATCCTCGATCTGAGCTCTTTGAACGGTTTGATAATATGTTGGTTTTTTTTTCACTTAACGTTCAAAAGATTCGGAATGGTTTTAACCGAATTAATCGTCAGAGTGAAAGTGAATCCCGAAGTCTATTCGGCAAACGTATTTTCTCGGGGTTTCAGCTGAATAAAGACACCGGAGTATCGGCTGTTTGTGGGGGGACACTGCTGTGCGCAATTGGCTGCCGCGTTTCGCCCACAAACCACACAGTCACTACACTTTACAGGGAGTCCTGTGAAGCGCTTTCAGACGTCTCGAAGACGTGATCGGGCGCTGTGTCAAATGCCGGAATTATCACTATTGTTGTTATTATTATATATTATTGTTGTAGGATAAAAAAGTGTTGGGAGGTGTTGGAGGGCAGGGGGTGGGAGGGCGGCCAAAAGCGCTGTTGAAGAGGAGGGTCCTCAGATGGGACTTGAAGGAGGCAGGAGAAGGGGTGGGGGGTGGGGGGGGGTGAGGCGGAGGGAATGGTGGGATGGAGTTCCAGAGGGCTCTTCCTCTACTTGTCTCGATGGAACGAATCACCTCAAAAGGGTTGATTTGGGTTCAATTCCATTTCCGAGCCCTGTTCCCCACTGAGGTTATCAGCTCACTTCGCAGACCATCTACTGTGGCTCTCAGAGAGCGGGAAAAAAAGATGTCCTCCTCTCTTCGCCTTCAAAGACCTCCACCCCTCGCTGGTCCCTCCCTATCTCTGTGACCTCCTGAATCCCCTAACAAACTGCCCGCTCCCTCCGCTCAGCGGGCTCCAGCCTGCCTCACGTCCCCCCCACGCCTCGCCCGGCCCCAGGATTGGTGGGTGGGCCTTCTGCCACTCTACCCCCACCCTCTGTCCCCTTCTCTCCCTCTCTCTACCCCCACCCTCCCTCTCCCCCTCTCTCCTTCTCACTCCCACCCTTCCCCTATCTTCCCCCCCTTTCCCCCACCCTCCCCCACTCTCCCACCCTACCCCCCTCTCCCCAACCCTTCCCTTCTCTCCCACCCTCCCTCTCTCTCTCCCCCTCTTCCCTCTCCCCCATCTTCCCGCTCTCTCCTCTCCCCCACATTCCCCCCCTCTCTCCCACCGTCTCTCTCTCCCTCACCATCCCCCTCTCTCCCCTACCCTCCCCCCTCTCCCACCCTCCCTCTCTCTCCTCTTCTCTCCCCCACCTTCCCTCTCCTCCCCACCAACTGTCCCCCCTCCTCCTCTCTCTCCCACCCTCCCCTCTTCTCCCCCCTCTCCCCCACCTCTATATAGTGTAGCAGTTAGAGCACTCGCCTCGCAAGCAAGAGGACCTGGGTTCGATTCGATTACCGGGCAGAGCGAAACCTTAGGCAAGTTATTATTATTGATTATTATTATTAATATTAATTATTATTAATATCAGCACACGGCAATGGCATAAAAGGAACGAAGAAACCCAATGGGAGGAACATACGGTCCATTGAACGTGGACGTACCGTGATCTTGCAGGATTTGTTCAAGGCTTCAACCCAATCAAGTAAGTCCTGCTTGTCGTTGGCTTGGAGGAAGTAACGGCGAAATCCTGCGTTTATGACTGTAATTGAAAAAGAAAATTGGAAAATAATCAATCGGGTGTAAAATAGGGATAGCCCCGGGCGGAATGGATTGCCGTCGAAACACCGGTACAAAGCAGGAATAATAATAATAATAATAATGTATTTGAAACAGCGCCTTATCACGTCTTCGAGCTTCATGGGACACACTGTAAAGTGTAGTGTATTTTGTGGGCGAAACGCGGCGGCCGATTGCCCACAGCAGCGTCCCCACAAACAGCCGTGGGTTGAAGTGGCCAAATTATTATTATTTTTTGAAGGGATTATGACCCCCGGAAAAGCCATCCGCCGATCGACTAACAACCGGGTTCCTACTGACTGGGGTGGGGGGGTGTAAGGAAACTTGCCCAACGTTTCACCCTGACCTGACCCGCCCGGGACTCCAACCCGGGTCCTCTCTCGCTTGCACGGGTTCTTTCAGTTACCAAAAAAAAAAAAAAACATTTCATTGGCTTCCCACTCACACTAACCACAGAACTTCACGTGTGACCAAACGTGCGACACAAGAAATTTGAGCTGAAATCTTCCGCAGCTCCTCCAGAAAGAGATTCCCGTTCCTCCCACAATAACTGCCTAAAACTTGAAATAGGTGGAACGTTGGTGGTGGGTTTGGGGCGGAGAGAGGATTGTAACAGAGCCTCATCACACACCACGTTTCAGTGCAGTCACGCACATGGCTTCCTCTCCTTTGGAAGCACCTTGAAGCTATTTCATCCATTCATCACATCTACGCCAACTCCCTCCTCGTCGGCCTCCCCTCAACTCTTCCCTCCACAGGCTGCAGATCGCCCAGAACTCTACAGCTCGTGTCCTCTCCCGCACCAGACTCCCTGACCCCCTTCGCCCCCCACCCTCGCCGACCCGACTCCACTGGCTCCCCGTCCCCCAGAGGATAGAGTTCAAAATCCTCGCCCTCGTCTTCAAGGCCCTCAACGGTCTCGTCCCCTCCTTTCTCTCTGATCTGCTGAGCCCCTATCAACCTGTGCGCTCCCTCCGCTCAGTAGGCTCCAACCTGTTCCAGGTCTCCCACCCGACCCCCCCCCCACCCCACCATCAGCCTCTCTGCCTCACCCTCTGGAACTCCATCCCACAACCCCTTGGCCTCGCTCCCTCGCTCGCCTCCTTCAAGGCCCATCTCAAGACCCTCTTCTTCGACCAACTGGGCCTTCGGTCACCCTCCTACCCCCCCCCCCACCGCCCCCTTCCCATCCTCCACCCCGTCCTGATCCCAACCCCCAGATAACAGAGCGTTAAAACATTCAGCAGGTGACTTAAAAGGGTACATGGAGTCTGAACATGTTTCACAATATTTTGTTCTCCCTATTCAACGTACCGAAGCAAAATTCAGCTTTGGGCCTCTGCTTTGCAGTTGCTTCACCAACCTGAGAGAAGAAGAGAAGAAAATGGATTAGAGAGGAGTTTATATGACAAATAATAATAATAATCCTTACGTTTGATCCACCGCCTGAGCTACAGGGGAATCTGAGGTCAGATTTTGCTTACAGTTGTAGGTGTTTTAACCAGACCAACTCAAGCTATTTCCACTTCCTCTATTGAGCGTTGACTGTAATCATGATTCGATAGAAAATGTAAGGTCGATAAAATACCTTAGAGATGTAGGGGAGTTGCAGACACCCGACACAGGATGTCGCAGGTGGTAGATTCTGAAAAAAAAAGAACGTGGGTTATTATTATTCGACTGTCCCTGTAGGTTATGTCAGAGCGAGAGCCAAAATGGCGGTCAGAAACATCCACCAGAAGTGGTGAGAACCAGAGCACAATATTTACGCAGTTCTTTTCAGGTCAGGAGGACGTCCCGAGGCGCTGGACTGTCAGGGGTTTGGACCCGAGCTGGGGGTTGGGATCAGGAGGGGGTGGAGAGCGGGGAGGGTGGAGGGCGAGGAGGGTGGGGGGTAGGAGGGTGACCGAAGGCGCGGTTGGTCGAAGAGGAGGGTCTTGAGATGGCCATGGAGGGCTTTGGGGGTTCGGTACAGAAGTAGGCCTGTGCTCGTAGGGTGTGTGTCTCATTGGTTTTTCTAAGTTGACCTCTTTTTTTAAACCAGTTTCATTTTTCAGCTGTTTCTCCGTATCCAATAAAACTGGAAATGCCGTCCGTCGGATGAGACGTTAAACTGAGCCTTAGGAAACTCACAGACGAGAGCACCACCAACTGAGTCAGGTTATAATAATAATAATTAATAATAATAATAATAATTAATAATAATAATCCCGGCATTTGACACAGTGCCTTATCACACCTTCGAGACGTCTCAAAGCGCTTCACAGGATACACCGTAAAGTGTAGTGACTGTGTATAATGTGGGCGAAACGCGGCAGCCGATTGCGCACAGCGACGTCCTCCGCAAACAGCCGCGGGTTGAGTGACCAAATTATTATTATTTTTATTTATTTCGACGGGATTATTACCCCCGGAAAAGCGATCCCCCAATCGACCAACAACCGGGTTCCTACTGACTACCGGTAACCAGTGTGCGCGTGGGGGGGGGGGTGGGGGGTAAGGAAACTTGCCCAACGTTTCGCCCCGACCTGACCCGCCCGGGAATCGAACCCGGGTCCTCTCTCGCTTGCGAGGCGCGGGCTCTAAACCTCCAGTGTGTACTATATAAAGGTTTTGTGCCGTTGTGGATGTCGCTCGCTGTTCCAAAAGTTGAGCTCGACACCCAAAAGCAGTGATCAGTTCAAGCCTCGTCGCTGCGCTGCAGGAAGCGAGTGAGAGAGAGAGAGAGAGAGAGAGAGACAGAGCAGATTACCACAACGCTCTCGACTCAGGAAGGTGCGCTGCACAGAGAACCATAAAGGGGAAGAAGAGTAACCGAACATTAACATTTTTCTCGTCTATTTCGACATTAACATAATGAATTCATTTCACTTTGCAGCGTATCCCGTGACGCGCTTCGAGGCGTCTCAAGGACGTGATCAGGCGTTGGGTCAAACGCGAGGGCTGCGGTTGTTATTAATAATAAACGATGACAGGTTTGGGGCTGCAACCGAAGTTAAACGGAAAACCCTCGAGCAGAGTGTGGTCAGCAACTTTCTCGTTGCTCCAGAGACAACGCGTTTCCCTCCTTCAGAGGTTTAGAGGCTGTTCTTTAACTGCAAAAATCTTATTTCGGGATTCGTAGCGCATTGTTCTGAGTATTAGAGCTTGGAGGCCCCCGGAGCTCAGGGGTTAGAGCCCTCGCAAGCGAGAGAGGACCCGGGTTCGATTCCCGCGCGGGTCAGGTCAGGGCAAAACCTTGGGCAAGTTTTCTTCCCCCCCCCCCCCCACACACACACCCACACACACACCCACACACACACACACACACACACACACGCGCGCCTCTGGTTACCGGTAGTCAGTAGGAACCCGGTTGTTAGTCGATTTGTGGATGGCTTTTCCAGGGGTAATAATCCCTTCCAAATCAATAATAATAATGATAATAATAATTCGGTCGCTTCAACCCGCGGCTGTTTGTGGGGGACACCGCTGCGCGCAACTGGCTGCCGCGTTTCACCCACAAAACACACAGTCACTACACTTCACAGTGTATCCTGTGCGGCGCTTTGAGACGTCTCGGAGACCTGATGAGGCTCTGTGTCAAATTGTTGTTGTTGTAACGGTCCTGTTGATCTAGAAGTCACTCTTACTCCCCTTTTAACATTCTCTCTTCATTGATTTCTGTGGTATATTAAAACACTGCAACGATCTATTATAATAGTATATTTTCCGGGGGGAGGTGACGATCCAAAAAAGAAGGTCTTTAGGCCGGGATTTGAATGTGGGGAGGGAGGGGGCGAGGCGGGGGGATCGAGGGAGCGAGTGATGGTGTTTCGGGGGGTAGCGGCTGAAGGCACGGCCACCGATGTCGGAGCGGAGGAGACGAGGGGTGAACAGGAGGCCGGAGCCAACCGAGCGGGGGGCAGCCGGTGGGGGCAGCGGGTGGGGTGAGCAGGTGGGAGAGGGCGGGAGAGGAGGGAGGTGCGAGGGCGCGAAGGGGTTCGGAAACGAGTGAGAGCGTCTGACGTTTCCACCTCTGACAGTGGTGTCCTTCTGTGAGTCAGGACAAGAGTCTTGCGTTAGGATTTCGCCCACAAAGCACACGTCTCGACGACGCGACTAAGGGGCTGCGTCGAAGGCCAGGCTGATTATCGTGCTGATTAGCATCACCTCCGAGGCTCGCTGACATATGTCTCCAGTAAAAGGTCCCCCGTCCCCCCTCCAACACCAAAAACATTCCAGAACTGAAAATTGGAATAGGGAACCAGCCATTTTGGATCTTGTGCTCTGCCACAGTCATGAGCGGCGATCGGTCTATTTTGAGGGCTTGCGTGATATCGGCAGAAGGCACAGTACACCTGCGTGCGGAGATCTAACCTCGCAGGGTTTCCCCTCGACATCGTTGCCCTCCCCAACGACACTGCGTCCACACAGGATTGGGAAACCTCCCCCTCCTCCGGCTTCCAGACGACCGTGAAAACTACCGTTAAGAATTGCTCCCGGAACAATTCAACCCACAGAGACAACTTGCGTCCACACGGCACCCTTCGGCTGAGGTGGGGTCCCGGAGGGCTTGAGGGTGGCGGAGTCTGACCCCGAGCCGGAGGGGGTGGTGGTGGAAGAGGGTGGGAGGGAGGGGGAAGGTGACTGTAGGGTGGGGGTGGAAGAGGGTGGGAGGGAGGGGGAAGGTGACTGTAAGCACAATCCAAAAAAGGAAAGTCTTTAAGCTGGGACTTGAAGGTGGGGAGGGAGGGGGAGAGGTGGGGGCATCGAGGGAGAGAGTGATGGAGTTTCGGGGTATAGTGGCTGAAGGCTTGGCCACCGATGGTGGAGACGGAGGCTCCGACCTGCTCCAGGTCTCCGGCCAACCCCCCCCCACACCATCAGCCTCTCTGCCCCAACCCTCTGGAACTCCATCCCACAACCCCTCGGCCTCTCTCCCTCTCTCGCCTCCTTCAAGCCACGACTCAAGACCCTCCTTTTCGACCGCGTCTTCAGCCGCCCTCCTACCGCCTCTGCCCTCCCTCATCCCAACCCTGCCCCCCACACCCCCCACCCCCACTCCCCCCCCTACGCTTGGGTCCTGACCCCAACTGTTCAGTGCCTCGGGAACGTCCTCCCAACACGAAAGACACTTTACAAAAGTGCTGTTGTTGTTGCATCCTTTCACCCACAACACACACACAGTCACTACACTTTACAGCGTATCCTGTGAGGCGCCTTGAGGCGTCTCGAAGACGCTGTGTCAAATGCGAGGATTATTATTATTATTATTATTAATAATACCATTAATACTCCTCATTCCCAATTCTCCTGACATTCGTATAAAGTCAATTTGAGCTCCGTTTCCTATGTGATCGGTTCCGCTTTATATATAATATATATACACACACAAAGTAATTAACAATTGCATCAGGTTATGGGAAAGACTGATAGATGCCAAGAGTCTGTACTTATTTGCGAAACAGGTTGACCCAACTTGTGATGATAATAATAATACTAATAGCAATGAGAAATAATCCTCGCGTTTGATGCGGCGCCTCAGCGAGACGTCTCCAAGCGCTTCGCGGGATACGCCGTAAAGCGCAGTGGCTGTGTGTTTTGCGGGCGAAACCCGGCGGCCGATTGCGCACAGCGGCGTCCCCCGCGAACAGCCGCGGGTTGAAGTGACCGATGGTAAACAGAGGCGCGGGCGCGTGTGCGTGTGTGGTGTGTGTGTGTGTGTGGGTGGGGGAGCAGTGGAGTAAGGAAACTTGCCCAACGTTTCGCCCCGACCTGACCCGCCCGGGAATCGAACCCGGGTCCTCTCTCTCGCCTGCGAGCCGGGGGCTCGAACCCCTGAGCCACAGGAAGTGCACTGATCGTGGATCAATGCGGCTTGGTGATTCACGCCCACCTCACGCTTGCTTTCATCACAGGATTGGTTTAGATGACGAAGGTCCCGATATCATCCGCCCATCACACCCACCGTAACGGTCTCCCATCACACCATCGAGTTGTTTATTTTTAAACGTCTTACCCACAACCTCACTCCCTGACTTCCTCTCGTTAATTAACGCCCCCAAAACTAGTTAATAACGTCCGCGACTGTTATACCTTGCGGATCGCTTTCCGTGGCTGATGAGCTCGCCCCCGCCAATAAATTGTCCGCCTATTTGGCCACCCGATCCGCCGCTTTGTTCGTGGGGTGGGGTGGGGGGGGGGACACGCAGCTGTGCGCGAGATCGGCCGCTGCTTTTCTCCTACAAAACACCCAGTCGCTGCAACCTTACAGCGTGTCCCGCGCAGCGCTTTGGGACGTCTGGAAGACGTGATGAGGCGCCGGGGCAAACGTGAAGCATTCCGGCCGCGCGGGAGGGGTGGGGGGTGGGGGGGGGCGGACGCCGCACAGCCGCGAGCTGTCGTTGTTTGGTCGAGGTTTACGTCACACGCTGAGCTCCTAAGTTCCTATGTACAGCGTAGACAGCGTAGAAAACAAACCTGGGGGTTGTCCATGTACCAGAGGAGAGCATTGTCCGAAGTGTCCAATATAAAATAGCGACGCAGAAATTTCCCACTGCCTTCAGTCTCCTCAATATCCAAGAAGCCACAAACACGATTGGATCGATCGACATACGGCATTCCTGCCCTCACCAGTCATCACACTGCAAGAGAAACGAGGCGGCGGTGAGAGGAGCCACCGGTCCGATTTCAGGACAGGAACGTCTCCGCGTTAAACCGTAAACCGCAATGATTTGAAAACGCTGAGGCACATAGACACGTTCCACCCCCATCACCACACCCCACCACTGCCGACAACAACAACAACAATAATAGCAATAACCCCGGCGTTTGACCCGGCGCCTCATCACGTCTCCGAGTCGTCTCAAAGCGCTTCACGGGATACACTGTCAAGTGTAGTGACTGTGTGTTTTGTGGGCGAAATGCGGCAGCCGATTGCGCACGGCAGCGTCCCCCACAAACAGCCGTGGATTCAGTGACCAATTTTTTTTTTGAATGGATTATTATCCCCGGAAAAGCGATCCCCCAATTGACTGACAACCGGGTTCCTACTGACTGCGGGTAACCTGCGGGTGTGTGTGTGTGTGTGTGTGTGGGTGTGTGTGGGGGGGGGTTGGGTGGGGGAGTAAGGAAACTTACCCAACGTTTCGCCCTGACCTGACCCGCCCGGGAATCGAACCCGGGTCCTCTCGCTCGCGGGGCGAGGGCTCGATCTAACCCCTCCACTCCAGGGGGAAAAGAAAAAAAAAGTACATTTTTTTCCCCAAAACAAAACTGCGGACAGAGAGGATTTTCCGGTTTTTCTGCATTAAAAACCCCGGCGTATGGTGCGCAGATCCAAACATTTGCTGCGTGTGTTTTATCTTAAATAAAGATTTGGTGTCTGAACGGCCGAAGGGACATCGCCGTTTGCACCACAATGGCAGATCTGTTTGAAACCTTACAGTCTACACGGAGAATAGTCAACGTAATTAGGATTCTGCACCGTGTTTCGAACCCACGTTGGACCTCACAGTGTCGCAGTTCTGCTCCTTCGCAGAACACTTCAACAGCCACTGTTTCTTACTTTTAATTCTGTCTTTATTCAGAAAAAAAAATTGACTTTAACCACCCAAAGACTCTTCCAGCAACAGCGCTGCTTCTCGGGCCTTGTTCAAAGGCCAATTGAACGTCTCAAACAGGGTCCGAACCCTTTTTAAAACCCCCTCTCGATTTATTTCGTGCTCTCTCTCTCTCTCTCTCTCCCCCTCTCTCTCTCTCTGGCAAATAATGGACATCAGGAGAAATGACACAACAGGAATTTAACTCGCCAAGTTTAGAGACTATAAGCAAGCACCTATGTAGGATATCTCCCACAAAATGCGCAGTCACTACACTTTACGGTGTATCCCGTGAAGCGCTTTGAGACGTCTCGAAGACGTGATCGGGCGCCGGGTCAACTGCGAGGAATATTATTCATTATTATGTGAGTCAGTTGCTTTATCAATACATCCGAAAGCAGAGTAGCGGCACTCAGCTGTATCAATACTTAATAATAATAATAATCCCAGCACTTGATACGGCGCCTCATCGCGTCTTCGAGACGTCTCACAGCGCTTCACAGGATACACCGTAAAGTGTAGTGACTGTGTGTTTTGTGGGTGAAACACGGCAGCCAAATGCGCACAGCAGTGTCCCCACAAACAGCCGCGGGTTGAACGACCGAATTATTAATTATAATTTTTTTTGAAGGGATTATTACACCTGGAAAAGCGATCAGTCAATCGACTAACAACCGGGTTCCTACTGAC